AGATAAAATGTACCAATTTCTTAAAAGATATACACTACCAAACTCAAACAACGAGAAAGACAAAGCTAACGGTTATCTGTATTAAAGAAATTAAATCAATAATTAATAACCTTCCCCAAAAAATCACTAGGCCCAGATGACTTCTCTCATGAATTCTATCAAATGTTTAAGGAAGGTAGGATATCAATTCTCATATAATCTATTTCAGAAATTAGAAAAGGAAGGAATGGGGCGCCTGGGTAGCTCAGTCAGTAAGTGTTCAACTCTTTGTTCTGGCTCAGGTCATGATCCCAGGGTTGTAAGATCAAGCCCTGTGTCAGGCTGTTTGCTCTGCGGGGAGTCTGCTTGAGATTCTCTCCCTCTGCCCCCCATCCCCCCAAACTTGCATGCACACATGCGTGCTCGCTCGCTCTCTCTCTAAAAAAAAAAAAGAAAAGAAAGGAACACTTTCTGAATTATTTTATGAAGCCAGTATGACCCTAACATCAAAACCAGATAATTATAAGAAAACTACAGACGAGTATCTCTCATGAACACCCTTAAAAATCCTCAACAAAATATTAGCAAATAGAATCCAACAATGTATGAGAAGAATTATACACCAAAACCAAGTGACATGTCTTCCAGTGATGCCATGTTGCTTCAGCATGAGAAAAGCAATTAATGTAAGCCATCACACACAAGACTAAAGAAGAAAAATATATGATATTAATTGATGCAGAAAAAGCATTTGACAAAATCCAACACCAATTCCTGATTAAAAAAAAAAAACTCACTAAATTAATAATAGAGGAAAATATCCTTAGCTTCACAAAGGGAAATGCAAATCAAAACCACAATAAGATACCACTTCGCACCCATATGGCTGGCCATAACTTTAAAAAAAAAAGAGAAGAGCAAATGTTGGTAAGGATAAGGAAAACCAGAACCCTTATATACTGCTGGTGAGAATGTAAAACAATACAGTAGTTGTGGAAAACAGTTTGGTGGTTCCTCAAAAATTACCATATCATCCAGCAATTCCACTCCTAGGTATATATACAAAAGAACAGGAAACATGTATTCAGACAAATACCTGTCACACACATTCATAACAGCATTATTCACAATAGCCAAAAAGTCAAAACAACCCAAATGTCCATCGATGGATGAATGGATAAACACAATGTGGTATAGAAATATATGATGGAACAGTATCAGTATTCCATCAATAGTATCAATAGTTTCAGTCTTAAAAAGGAATAAGTTCTTCCAATCAAGAAATGGGCAGAAGACATGAACAGACATTTCTGCAAAGAAGACAGACAAATGGCCAACAGACACATGAAAAAGTGCTCAACATCGCTTGGCATCAGGGAAATACAAATCAAAACCTCAATGAGATACCACCTCACACCAGTCAGAATGGCTAAAATTAACAAGTCAGGAAACTACAGATGTTGGCAGGGATGCGGAGGAAGGGGAGCCCTCCTACACTGTTGGTGGGAATGCAAGGTGGTGCAGCCGCTCTGGAAAACAGTACGGAGGTTCCTCCAAAAGTTGAAAATATAGCTACCATATGACCCAGCAATTGCATTACTGGGTATTTATGCCAAAGATACAAATGTAGTGATCCAAAGGGGCACATGCACCCCAATATTTACAGCAGCAATGTCCACAATAGCCAAACTATGGAAAGAGCCCAGATGCCCATCAACAGATGAATGGATAAAGAAGATGTGGTATATATATACAACAGAATATTACGTAGCCATCAAAAAAATGAAATCTTGCCATTTGCAATGACGTGGATGGAATTAGAGGGTATTATGCCAAGTGAAGTAAGTCAATCAGAGAAAGGCAATTATCATATGATCTCACTGATATGAGGAATTTGAGAAAAAAGATGGAGGATCATAGGGGAAGGGAGGGAACAATGAAACAAGAAGAAACCAGAGAGGGAAACAAACCATAGGAGACTCTTAATCTCAGGAAACAAACTGAGGGTTGCTGGAGTGGAAGGGGGTGGGAGGGATGGGGTGGCTGGGTGATGGACATTGGGAGGGTATGTGCTATGGTGAGTGCTGTGAATTGTGTAAGACTGATGAATCACAGACCTGTACCTCTGAAACAAATAATACATTATATGTTAACAACAACAACAAAAAAGGAATGAAGTTCTGATACCTGCTACAACTCAGATGAACCTCATAAACATTATGCCAAATCAAAGGCCATTTGGGCTGCTATAACAAAATACCCCAGACTATGTGGGTTATAAACATTTATTTCACACAGTTCTAGAGGCTGTGACACAAAAGATCACATACTGTATGATTTCTAATTTTATAGGAAACATCCATTATAGAGAAATCCATAGAGACTGAAAATAGGATGATGATTGGTGGGGGAAAGGGTAACAGGGAATGGGGAGAGACTGCTTAATGAGCATGAGTGTTTTCTTCTGGAATGATGAATGTGTCCTGGAACAAGGTAGAAGTATAATGGATGCATGACACTGGGAAGGCATTAAATGTTACTAAATTATACACTTTAAGATGGTTAATGGTTAATTTCATGTTATGGGAATTTAACCCCAATTTTTTAAAAATGCAGATAACATCATATTTAATGGTGAGAACTGGAGACTTCCCCCTAAGATTGAGATCAAGGCAGAGAGAGAAAGAGAGAAACAATATCCAAATGCTGCAGGGCAATTAGGATGATGACAGAAAATCACGTGTTGGATTTGTTAACGCCAGGTGTTGGTGACCTGGACAAGAATTCTTGGTGGGATGAGAGAGGGTGGGAAGCCAACCAGAGTAAACCGAAGAATGCCCAGGCTTACTTCTGGTTTTTAGGAAACAGGGTCACAACCTTTCTGCATCTTGTCTTGAAATTGCTCAAAAACAAAAGAACAGGAAATGAAAATAAACATTATACCTGCGAATTAGAAACCAAATTTTCTCAGATCTAGGGGATGTTTATTACTATCTCCTGGTCTAGTCTATCCTGACTGATACACATTTTATAAGGATTTAACCCAAAATTATGAAATAACTATATTGGTTAAATAGAGCAGCCCTACAGAATGAAAACTATGAGTTAAAATCATCTTTATCACAACAGGAAGTCCAGAAATAACAGCACATATATAATCTTTACAAATACGGAGATAAATCCCAGAAGAAACAGCTAAAAGCTGGAAGTGGTGGTCTATGGGGAACAGGATAGGGCAGGAGTTGCACGGGGAGAGTAGGGTGGAAGCCAAGAGTCTATCATTTTCTTCATAAACCTTACAGAACTCTTGACTTCTCAAAATATGTAGAGGTATTATATTGATAAAATAAAAACAGTATTTGAAAAAGTGAACCAAGGGCTGTGAAGGGGGCTGAGGGCAGGTGGTGTATGTCATGTCACAGCCAGAAAGGACCTGGCCAAGAATGCTGTGTAAGCACGCCTGTGCACAGGGCTGAGTCCTAACTGCCTCAGTTTCCCCAGCACCCAGGACAGGGCCTGGCACAGGGACAAAGGCACCCTGCCAAGAAAAGGGCTCATGTGGGATGATTACACAGCTGCTGCTGATGCCCCCATCCCTTGGCAAGAGAAGGCTGGGCTGCTCCTTTGACCAGACCCCATAGGCAGCTGGAAGATGGGCCCTGCCCTAGAAGGGGACCTGTTATGCATTGAATTATGGCCCCCAAGATAATGTTCAAGTCCTAACCCTCAGGACCTGTGTTTGTGACTCTATTTGCAAACAAGGTCTCTCCAGATGATCACATTAAGGTGAGGTCATTGGAGTGGGCCCTAATCCAGTATGACTGGTGCCCTTATATAAAGGGGAAATTTGGATTCAGAGATAGAGACACAAGCAGCAGGCCACGTGGTTAGAATTACGGTGCCAGAAGCCAAGGAACGCCAGAAACCACCAGCAGATGGAGAGAGGCCTAGAACCAAACCCCCTCACAGTCGCCAGAAGGAGCCATCTCCACTGCCCCCTCGATCTTGGATTTCCAGCCTCCAGAACTGAGAGAGAATAAGCCTCTGTTGTTTAAGACCCCAGTCTGTGGTACTTTGTCACAGCAGCCCTGAGAAGCTAATACAAGCCTGGGAACACACTCCCTAGCAGGTGACACCCCCTCAGGCGCAGCCTTGTCTGAGGCCTCAGTCATAGCCCGGGCGCCAGGCACAATCCACTTGGGCGACGGAGGGGTGGATTTTCCACAGTGGTCCGCAAACCTCAGGCTGCCCTGCCCCACCTGCTGACCCTGGGGAGGGGCACCCCAGGCTGGCCACCTGTGTCAGAACAATGGCCTGGGTGCAGAACAATTTAGGAATTGTTATTGCTAGGTCAGCGGGGCAGACCCTGCCCACATCCTGGGGCCCTGATGGCTGTACTCCGAGGGAGAGACACCCCCCTGGCCCCTCCGCACCCTGACAGGAAGAGGGGGCTGCCTAGGAGGCAACACAGTGCCACTCAGAACACCAGGGCAGCAGAAGGGGACCCATGGGTCTGACAGGGGAGATGGACAGGGTCATAGGAAACATAGTCTACTGTGTGGCCACCTGTCCTCTAGGGACATCCTGCACTCCTTCCTGTCTCTCTCCACAAAATGAAGGTAAATTTATGGGGCGCCCGGGTGGCTCAGTCAGTTAAGCGGCTGCCTTCAGCTCAGGTCATGATCCTGGGGTCCTGGGATCGAGCCCCGCATCGAGCCTGCTTCTCCCTCTCCCTCCGCTGCTACCCCTGCTTCTGCTCTCTCGCTCACGATCTCTCTCTCTCAAATACATAAAATCTTTTTAAAAATGTTTAAAAAAAAATGAAGGTAACTTTGAAAAAAAAAAGGAAAACAATGAAAAAATTTTAGCGTAGCTGCATTTAAGCTTCTGTTAGAGAGAGAGGTGGGGGCAAGAGGACGCACTGGTGTTCTCCCAGCTCCCATTTAGCACATGAGCCGAGGTGTCTATGACAATGGCATGTGGGGCACAGCACAGCGGTGACAACCACAGGTCCTACTCACTCAGAGTCGCTGGGCCCCAGAGGACTCTCAGCCATCCGCAGGACGGTCCTGGCCTCGGAGGCTGGCGTGCCCACACGGGATTCAGCAATGCGTAAATCTTCTGGAGACTGAAATGAAAGACAGCACAAATAGGGTGTCAGGGGGCTGCAGGCAAGCCGCTCGTTTATGAACACACGGGCGTTCTATCTGAGCGACGGACCACACGTTAAAAAAAGAGAGGCTAACACTGTTGCTGGGAATGCAAGCTGGTGCAGCCGCTCTGGAAAACAGTATGGAGATTCCTCAAAAGTTGAAAATACGATACCATACGATCCAGCAGTTGCACTACTGGGTATTTACCCCAAAGATACAAGTGTAGGGATCCGAAGGGGTATGTGCACCCCGATGTTTATAGCAGCAATGTCCACAATAGCCAAACTGTGGAAAGAGCCAAGATGTCCATCGACAGATGAATGGATAAAGAAAATGTGGTATATATATACAATGGAATATTATGCAGCCATCAAAAGGAATGAGATCTTGCCATCTGCAACGATGTGGATGGAACTAGAGGGTGCTTTGCTGAGCGAAATAAGTCAATCAGAGAAAGACATGTATCATATGACCTCACTGATAGGAGGAATTCTTAATCTCAGGAAACAAACTGAGGGTTGCTGGAGTGGGGGGTGGGTTGGGAGGGATGGGGTGGCTGGGTGATAGACACTGGGGAGGGTATGTGCTATGGTGAGCACTGTGAATTGTGCAAGACTGTTGAATCTCAGATCTGTACCTCTGAAACAAATAATGCAATATATGTTAAGAAAAAAAAAAAGAAGATTGGGGTGCCTGGGTGGCTCAGTCGTTAAGCGTCTGCCTTCGGCTCAGGTCATGATCCCAGGGTCCTGGGATCGAGCCCCACATCGGGCTCCCTGCTCGGCGGGAAGCCTGCTTCTCCCTCTCCCACTCCCCCTGTTTGTGTTTCCTCTCTCGCTGTGTTTCTCTCTGTCAAATAAATAAAATCTTAAAAAAAAAAAAAAAAAGAAGAAGATAGCAGGAGGGGAAGAATGAAGGGGGGGAAATCGGAGGGGGAGACGAACCATGAGAGATGATGGACTCTGAAAAACAAACTGAGGGTTCTAGAGGGGAGGGGGGTGGGGGGATGGGTTAGCCTGGTGATGGGTATTAAATAGGGCACGTTCTGCATGGAGCACTGGGTGTTATGCACAAACAATGAATCGTGGAACACTACATCAAAAACTAATGATGTAGGGGCGCCTGGGTGGCTCAGTCATTAAGTGTCTGCCTTTGGCTCAGGTCATGATCCCAGGGTCCTGGGATCAAGCCCTACATCGGGCTCCCTGCCCGGCGGGAAGCCTGCTTCTCCCTCTCCCACTCCCCCTGCTTGTGTTCCCTCTCTGGCTGTCTCTCTCTCTGTCAAATAAATAAAAATAAAATCTTTAAAAAAAAAAAAAAACTAATGATGTAATGTATGGTGATTAACATAACAATAAAAAGTTAAAAAATAAAAATAAATAAAAAAAATAAAGAGAGGCTAACAGCTCCCTGCACCGAAACGTTAAAAGCGGCTCAGAACTGTGGGATCAGAACTCTGGGGTTCTGCAGAACAGCCGAACGTTCTGAAAATCAAAGAGTTGCAAGTAGATCATGAGTCTCGAGTCTCTCCAAGTGTTCGAGTGATCCCTCCTATTCGTTCCCCAAGGTCACCAAGCACAGAGAGCTAACGATTGAGGCCACCAGCAGCCGGGCCTCAGCCGAAGAGAGTGGGGACTATATTTCTCTAACCCTTTTGGAGGAAGATACGGGAAACCCCGTGGCATTAATATTGCAGGTTTCACTTGCTCTAACAGGAAATGAAGCACATTCTTCAAGGTTCGGTTCCCAGTTTGTTTTCCAAAGAAGCAAAATGCGACACAAGATACAGAGTTCGGTGTCATTTGCGTTATTCATCTTAAAATCACGTGTGACATACATATGGGGAAATTCTACAAAATACACTAAACCAGGCCTTTTTAAAGAAAGGCTGACCATGTGCACACGTGGGTGCACAGTGCAAGCCATCCCCTGTGCAAATGACGTCATTTCCTCCCTGACACACAGGGACGCCAGCACTCAGCCCACGGCCTGCACACCAGCGCTACCCCGGCATGGGCCATTGCCCAGATCTCTGTGCGGAACCGGTCTACAGGGAGCCATCCTGGCTCACATCCTAACTCTGCCCCGTACAGCCTGGGAGGACGAAGGAACCTACCTATGCCTCAGTTTCCCTACTTTGGAGGAGGATGGGAGCACTGAGATATTCGGTGTCAGGCCCCACCTCCAGCACCAGCAGCGTGGTCTCCCCACCATGTTGAATGAAGGCACTGACCCCCATGACTTATAAGGTTCCTTAAGCTTTAATGGCACCTGCTGTGTTCCCTGTCCACGGAACAGGCCACCCAGCTGAAGGCCTCCTAAGTCCAAACACGGACCCGACGCCCCTCACCATGGGCCCACTCCAACACCACCGGGTGGGGGCATCACTGTCCATGCAGAGAACACACAGGCTGAACCACAGCTGTGCCAGCCCCCAGCTACAGCCAGGGACACTAAGGAGGCGCGTGGAGGCATGGTACTAGATGACACGTCACCGACTCTGGACCACGGTGTGCAAGGCAGCCGGGCTCCCAGGCCTAAGCCCTCATCACGCCCCAAGCCCCCCTGCCACTGGTAGCTCACCCCTTTCATGCCAGTGTTCGAGTCATTCCCTTTTTGGTTCCTCCAGAATCGTACTGACAAACTCCTATTCATTCTTTAAATCCCAACTGGGAAAGGCATCCCTGCGCTTCAGCGGTTAAGCACACTCTTCTCGGCCTGGCCTGTTGCAGCAGTTTTCATTCCCGACCCTACCCCCCGCTCCCTCTAGAAGCCCCCCTGGCCTCCTGAAGGCAGCGTTCCACAGACTGCAAATGCCACCGCACCCAGCAAACCACAGACACGGGACTCAAACACAGGCTTAAAGAAAGGGGAGGGTAAACGCAAGGCACCACATGGACTGGGAAAGGACTCTGAATGGGAGCACTGAGCTGGGGTCACAGAGGCCAGCCACAGCAGCAGGGAAATAGGAAACAGGCTCCTGAAACCATACTGAGCACCCAACGCCAAGCTCAGAGGCTGGTGTTACCCCCAGGCAAATGGGGCCACCAGAAGTTTCTGACTGTGGAGGGGGGTTACCATATCGGTTTGGTGCAGGACAACCTGGGAGGGGCAGGGTTCATCCAGGAGCCCCCAGAAGGAATGCAGAGCCCCTCAGGGAGAAGAAAGAGGCTGGACACTATACTGAGCTCCCCCCCAAAGGGTATATTGATGAAGCTATTCAGAAAAGCTCCTCCCTGGCTTCTCCCTGCTCCCCACAACCCCTGGCCCTGCATTCTGTATGGAAAGCCTCCTGCCAGTCCCCAAAGCTGCCTAATTACTCTGCAAAACTGCCTTTAACCAACCTGCCTGTTAACTGCCATGGGCCACAGGCTGCCACATACAGCGTGTCCCCGAGGCTAAAAATACAGCCAGCTCCTCAGCAGCACTGCCTCCTTCCACGGGGGCAGAGGCGTGGCTGCCTGGGAACCAGGGAGTCTTCCTTGGCTGTTCATCCACCCTCCATTCAGAAGCCATCTGTGGGGCCAACCTGCCATGTGCCAGGCTCAGGACCTCCGGTCTCTGCTGCCATGATCCTCCCTGGCAGGAACCAGGTGACACTGTGTCCCTCCCCATTCCCCGCCTCCCCAGACCACCCTATACTCAGTCACTCACAAGGCTCACCCAGGAAAGGTTCACAAGGAAGTGGTAAACACTCCAGCAACTCATAAACCCCACAGTCATGAATGGACCGGGAGTAACGCACAGCTCCCAGCTGCCGCCCTCCACGGCTCCTTCCCAACCCCAGAAAGAATATGCGGTGGGCACTGGGAAGAAGTGACCCAGCTGTGACAGCCAAGCCAGGGTTGGGCTGGCACGGGGACACTGCTAGAGGACAGCCTGGCCTGTTGGGAGGGCATGGTGCTGGCAATGCCACGCCCACCTCCACCACGTCCACACTGACACTGGGCCCCTGCACTGCAGAAAAATGGCCAAGCTCTGGAAGGCAGAGCTCAGAGGGTCAGGCCTGTCCCCAGGGTCAGGGGGAGCTCCAACCTTTGTCACCTGTGAGAGTCACTTCTTGCCTGAGGCCTTCTGTGCGCTGGGGCTGGGCCGTCCAGCCCTGCTCTGCCCGCTGCTCACACTCCCACAGCCCAGTACGCACACAGCCCACTGTCTTTTCAGTCAGAGGACGGTCCCACCACATCTGCTCCCCAGGCTCAACCACCCAAGTGAGCTCAACGAGGCCTTTCTCCACCTGGTCCCTAAAGAATCTGAGACAGAAAGCATACAGATGGCAGGTGCCTGGGTGGCTCAGTCAGTTAAGCGAAGCATCTGCCTCGACTCAGGTCATGATCCTGGAGACCCAGGATCGAGTCCCGCATTGGGCTCCCTGCTCAGCGGGGAGTCTGCTTCTCCCTCTGACCCTCACCCCTCTTGTGCTTTCTCTCTTTCACTCTCTCTCTCACATAGATAAATAAAATCTTTACAAATATATATTTAAAAAAGAATACATACTGATGACGAACTGGTACAAGAAGACCCTCCACATCACTCATCATCAGGGAAATGTAACTCAAAACCACAGTGAGATATCACCTCACACCTGTCAGAAGGACTAGCATCAAAACACAAGAAATAACAAGTGTTGGCGAGGACGTGGAGGAAAGAGAACCCTCGTGCACTGTGGGTGGGAAGTAAGTTGGTGCAGCCACTGTGAAAACAGTGGGGAAGTTCTTCAAAGAAAGTAAAAATAGATCCAGCGATTCCACTTCTGGGTATTTATCTGACCAAATGGAAACACTAATTCCAAAACATATCTGCACCCCCATGTTCATTGCAGCATTATTTACACAGCCAAGATATGGAAACGACCTAAATGCCCACTGACAGATGAATGGATAAAGAAAATACGGTTAAAAAAAGAAACGCATATATATACACAGTAGAATTATTATTCAGCCATTAAAAAAAGGAAATCCTGCCATTTGCAACA